TATCCCACTACATGCCTCATTTTACAGCGCGCGCGGGTGTGTGTGTGTGTGTGTGTGTGTGTGTGAGAGAGAGAGAGAGAGAGAGAGAGAGAAATAGCACCACTTGTCCCAAAATCATCCTTTGGGGTGGACCATCTAAAACTTTTGACATTTTAAAATTGAGAAACAGAGAAGCTTTGTAAACAGAGTTACAAAGCTGGTTTGAGGCAAAGCAAATCAGGCTAGAGCCCTTATCTCCTGAACCCCAGTCCAGGGCTTTTCTCACAAACAGGGGTATTAAATAATATACTGAGTCTTGTTTTGACAGCATCTCTTTAGTAGAAGCTTCCTGGATTATTTGAACTGGCCTGTGGAGGATTTCTGTTTGTCAGACAGAAGGCAGCTTTCTGGGCTATGTGTGCAAGTACATGAGGAAAAGGAGGTAGTGAACCACCCAAGGGGGAAAAGTACTCACACACACTTTAGAACTGTGATCTAGAATTACCTGGTAGAGTTAAAAAATGTGATTGGTTCACCCCAGCGTAGTGTGGGAGCAGCAACGGTGACAAATCATATGTATGAGATGATAGATATTCAAATAGTTCTTCATTCTTTTTTTTGTTTTGTTTTGTTTTTTTAAAACATTTTATTAGGGGCTCATACAACTCTTATCACAATCCATACACACATCAATTGTGTAAAGTGCATTTGTACTTCATTCTCAAAACATTTTCTCTCCACTTAAACCCCCGACATTAGGTTCTCATTTTTCCCCTCCCTCCCCGCTCCCCCCTCCCTCATGAGCCCTTGATAGTTTATAAATTGTTGTTTTGTCTAGTTCTTCATTCTTAACGTTATACTCTGTCCACCCTGCCATTTGAATTGATGCTTGGAGATTTAGGAGGAAAGTAGGCTTGTGGGTCCACCAGTTCGATCCTGAGGTTGGGTGCAGATAGGGATGGGTTTACGGACCCCAGAAGGAGCCCTGGGGATGGTGCAGTGGCTAACCGCTTGCTGCTAACTAAGAGCTTCATGGTTGAACCCATCATTGGCTCCCTGGGAGAAAAAAGGTGATATGCATAAAGACCTGCTTTGATAAAGAGTTGCAGCCTCAGAAATCCTGTGGGACAGACCTACTCTGATCTATGTTACTCTGAGTCAGAATTGACTCGAAGACACACAACACATTGCGCCCTGGTGGTCCAATGGATAGGTGTTCGGCCACTAAGCAAAAGGTTAACAATTTGAACTGACCCAGGTCTGCAGAAGGACGTGGCCATCTGCTTTCCAAGATGACAGCCCAGGAAACCCTGTGGGGCAGCTCTACCCTGTCACTTGGGGTGGCTGTGAGTCCAAGTGAACTTGACAGCACTTAGCAACAAGAGCCCAAGAGAATTGCTTTATGCTAGCATTGTTGTCATTAAGGGTCAGACTTGTGCGTGGCACGTAGTCATGCTTTATGTGTGTTGTGTCATTCAGTCATCACAACCCATTATGCTCTTCTCTGTAGATGAGAAAACAGGCACGGAGGGGAAGGAACTGGCCCCAGATCACAGGGCTGGTTAGGGTTGAAGTTGGGGTATGGACCAAATAAGCCTGAGCAGAGGCTGAGCTCACAGCCGCACATGGCTCTGTCCACTAAAAAAAACCTTGGTAACCGGCCTGTAGGTTCCTGACCCAGGAGCAAGTGACAGGTCCCGGGGAGCTCCTCAGGACACCATTGGAAGAGAAGATGCCAGACCCTGGAAGGGAAGTTGGGGTCTAGCTGCTGACACTTTCTGCCACAGACTTGAACCGCCCTTGAGACTGGGCTTGGGAGAGGGAGGAGAATGATGCCCAGGAGCAGCCAACCTATCAGCTGCAGTGTGGAGATGTGGCCACCTGGAGGCAGCAGAAAGCTGAGCTCTGAGCAGGGGAGAGGCAGGGAGCCCACCTTCATCCTGGCATTCCTACTTCAGGGCTCACTCGCTTTGACCTGCTGGGTGACTTTGGACGCTTCAACTGGCTGGGCAGTTTCTACATCGTGTTCCTCTACAATGCAGCCTTTGCAGGCCTCACCACACTATGTCTGGTGAAGACCTTCACCGCAGCTGTACGGGCAGAGCTGATTCGGGCCTTTGGTGAGAAGGGATTATGCAGTGGTTGGGGGGTGGGGAAGGGCGGGGGCGGGGAGGAGATCTGGTATGGCGTGAACCTCATCCATCAATCTGGTGACTTGATTGTCTTATCTCTGCGGACAGAACTTCTGACTGTTCCCTTTCTCTCCTCCAGGGCTGGACAGACTGCCGCTGCCTGTCTCTGCTTTCCCCCGGACCTCTAGGAAGACCCAGCACCAGTGACCTATAGCTGGGGGTGGGAGGGAGAAAACTGGACACTGCCATCTACTGCCCAGGCCCAGAGGAGAGCCCGGAGTGGGGCCAGGGAGTGGACCTCAGAACCTGAAATCTGAGAGGAGAGTGGGTGGCAGAGGGGAGGCAAGCCATCTGCACTGTTGCAAATCTGAGCCAGAATTTGGGACCGGCCCCCCCAGCTTTTCCAAATTTAATTGTGGGCCTCCGTATGGGGTGGGGCCGGGTGGCTGCCTGTGCCTCCTGGTCCCAAATCTGTTTACACATCAGTCTGCCTCAATGCTGTTCTGGGCTTTGCCCATAGCCATGTTTACATGATTTGATGTGCAATAGGGAGGGGGAGGGGTGGGGCAGGGAATGATCCGGACTGGGAGAAGGCTTGGGAAGAGACAGGTTGTCTCCCTTGCCTCTATCCCAGCAGAACTTAAGCACTGTGCTGTCCTGGAGGGGCTTTAGACCACCTGAGGCCATGACCACAGGGAGGAAGAGGCCAGAACCATCAGCAATAAAGTTGATCCAGGGTTGCTTCGGTTTTTTAAAGGCCCTGTCTCTGTCTATTTGTGTCACCTATCAACTGAGAAAAATGGGGGTGTCTTAATCACCACCCAGTTCCTTCCCTCCATCTTGCACCCTGGGTGTTTGGAAACCTGTATCTGGTGTTAGGTCATACAGTTGGGTAATGTGACACTCCACCACCCTTCTCACTGCCAGCCAGTTGTTGCTGGCTCATAGAGATCCTATAGGACAGAGCAGAACTTTCCCTGTGAGCTTCCAAGACAGTTACTCTTTACAGGAGTAGAGAACTCCATCTTTCTCCTGTGGAATGGCTGGTGGTTTTGATGTGTGCCTTGTGGATTGCAGCCCAACATGTAAACACTATGCCACTACATCCTCCCTCCTCCCTTAGCCCTTGCTTAAAGCTGATTGTTCCCCTGACTCTTATCCAGAAACATGGCCCTACTTCTGAACTCAGAGGTAGGGCTAGAAAAGCCTGGGAAGAAGATTGCCTTATACACACACACAGTTGGATTGTAGTTTCTGAGGATATTTGGTCACGGTATGTATACCCTGTTTCCCCGAAAGTAAGATATCCCCCTAAAATAAGACCTACTTAAAGTTTTGCCTCTTGCTGAAATATAAGGCATCTCCATGAAAATAAAACCTCCCCCAAAATAAGCTGCCCCTCCCCCCAAGCTACCGTGACTCTGGACCTTAGCAGTGCCACATTGCAGCTCACTGTTGGCCGCAGCGCAGCTGGAGCAGACAGGAAGTGTGAGGTCTCTTAAAACAATAAATGTGTATGTATTCTTGATGGAAAAATAAGACATCCCTGAAAATAAGACCTAGTGCGTCTTTGGGAGCAAAAACTAATATAAGACACTTAGTTTTGGGGAAGCAGGGTAGTTAATAGGACAGTTGTCTTGCAATTGGCAGGGCATGAGGCAATACCCCTCTAACAGTTGTGGGTGCTAGCCATAGAACCAGGTAAGAATGGAATACAGAAAATGTAGATGGAAAAATACTTGTTGAGCACCTGACTAGGGCAGGCACTCCATTAGAAATAAGCTTGTTCCCAATAGTTGCCAGTCTTGAGAGGGTGGCATATGGCACCATAGCAATTGCTTCTTGAAGGACTGTAGAGGTGGCCAGAGTCAGGATACCATCCAATGCTTCTTGAGAATAATTTATAAGACTATATGGGTGACGATGTAGGCTTATTTTCTGAGGTGACTGAGTGGTGGGAAGCAGAGCCAAGAGTCCAGAGCAAGCGATTGGAGGGCTAGCCAGAGAGGAGGTGAAGGCCTAGGTCTTAATTTTCCACTTAGTATTTACCCTGGTAGCTTCCATTTAGTTATTTGAATGGTAAATTGCTATTACATGTTGTGTCTGGTGAGGCTAAGGACTCAACTACTATCCAGTCGATTTCAACTCAGTAACCCTGTAGGACAGGGTAGAGCTGCCTCGAGTTTCTGAGAGGAACGCTTTTCAGGAGTAGAAAGCCCCGCCTTTCTCCTGGAGCAACTGGTGCTTTTGAACTGCTGGCCTTGTGGTTTACAGCCCAATGCATAACCGCTACACTACCAGGGCTCCCCAGCAAGGGTAAGAGGGGGTAAAAGTTGGAACTCCATAAGCTGAATATAGCCTGATTTGGGGAGCCCCAAGGGGCACCTCCCAGCTCAAGGCTATCGGGCAGCTAGGGAAAATATCCCCAGGTTCCCACTCCTTTCAGTCCTGGGGACACGGAGAGGTGGGGAGACCAAAGGAATTAGGGGAGACTGGCTGTATGTCCAAAAGGCTTGGGTAGCAACTAGGACCTGTACTTTTTATATGGCACTAGACAGCAGTTGACTAGGGTAGTCCTTGAGAAAACAAGGATCCCTATTGAGAATCAGGCAAGGATGGTTTGGCTACGCCTAGTCTTGGAGGTAGATATTCGTGCTGCAGCGAAGTACTGTGCTAGGTAGGTACTAGCAGAGGACGTCCTAGGCAAGTGCCTCCCTGGTTTCCTGAACGGGACTCATTTCGGCCGTGAAATGGGCCAGCAGTGACAGGCTGGCGCCCCCGCCCCGGTGGGAGGGGGCGGGACCGCCCTGGAAGAAGGGCGGGAGGCGGGGCCAGGGGCCACTTAAGGCGGAGCCCGGGCGTCCTGGCAGCACAGGAGCCCAGCAGCAGAATCAGGCTAGGCTGGCACACACCCACTACCCCCCTTCCCCGCTAAGTTGGTCCATCAGTAGCAGGTCCCAGACTCCCCGCAGGGGCATGTGGGCAGAGCTAGCTGCAGCCAGGTGCGCAGAGCTACAGGAGCTCTAGGGTACTCCAGGGCGCTCTGCCTTCTGCGTGCTCAGGAGCCTGGGGAAATGCCCCACTGACTGGGGGACTAGTCAGGACAAGACCGTCGCCGCTTGGCCCTAGTCCGCTACATCCATGGCGCTGCCGATCGGTCTGGTGCCCTTGTGCTGCTTGGCACTCCTAGCATTGCCCGCTCAGAGCTGCGGGCCTGGCCGGGGTCCGGTGGGCAGGCGCCGCTACGTGCGCAAGCAGCTCGTGCCGCTGCTCTACAAGCAGTTTGTGCCCAGTATGCCCGAGCGGACTCTGGGCGCCAGTGGGCCAGCCGAGGGGAGGGTGGCAAGGGGCTCTGAGCGCTTCCGGGATCTGGTGCCTAACTACAACCCCGACATCATCTTCAAGGATGAGGAGAACAGCGGGGCAGACCGCCTGATGACGGAGGTAAGGAGGGCTCCCCACCTGCGCCAGCGCACTGCCAAGTTCCTCCCTGTCTTCTGGCAGCGGGCGAGGGTGAGCCAGCCTCATCTAGAGAGATCTTAGTCTCAGAGACCAGCCCCCTAACTAACCCCCAGAACAACCTGCTGGCTGGACCAAGTGGTCAGAAGAGATCCCCATCCACAGAGGCTGGGATGGAGGTGGGGGGGAGGGACTAGTGAGAGTGGAGCGAGGGCGGGGAAAGGAGGATGGCGGCAGGCGAGACGGGAAATGGCTGAGGCGTGGACCCGGGGTCAGCCACCGAGCCAGGCAGGAAGGGCTGGGGTGAGCCTGGGGCTAGGGGGCCAGGAACTGGCTAGGCACCAGACAGAAAACTCTACCTTTCGCCTGGCTCCTGAGCTGCTAGTGGAAAGGGTCCAGGGACCAATCGCCTGCAGGGGACTGGTGGAAGGGTCAGGTCCACAGACCATCTACCTGCGAGTGGGAGGTGGGCAGGCATTTTCTGTGACAGAGAGGAGTGTCCTAGAATCAGGGCAGTGCTGTTGGGTCTAAACTAGACCGTCCTTGATGAGAAGAACCGATGGGCCCACCTGAGAATCAAAGCACCTCTCCATCCCCCAAATTCAGCTAAGCTCAGGGCCTTTCCTTGGAACTGAAGTAAATTCAACTACCATATCTAAAGCATCTGCCACCCCTCATTATATCAGAACTGACAGGGAGCTTGGAGGTCATGTTGCTCCACCCCCATTTTAGCAAGGAGGGAGAGCTGGACCCAGGAGGAAAAGTGATTCAGTCAAAATCGTGCTGGAGGGAGAATGCTGGACTCCTGATTCTAAGTCCTATACACTTTCCATTACACCACCTAATTGTGTGTGGGGTGGGAGAGCGCGAGAGGGAGGGGCACGGATTTCCTCTGATTAATTGCCATCATTTTTCCAGGTTACTTTGTCAGGAAAACCTGTCCCGGGAAGAAAGAATCCCTTCTTGCTCCTGCCCCGAAGTCTTTCTCCTAGCCAAAAAAATGAAAGGGACTCTCCCCCTGCCCCCTTTGGTGAAGGAAGATTCTGGGTTTGCCCTTTCTTCTGGCTACCACCTGCAACAGAAGGAGCAGCACCAGGGATAGGCCCAGGAGGGACTCTGGCGGGCCTGGGAGCCCCCTTAGCCAGCTTATCCCCCACACCCTGGCTGCAAAAGGCCTCTATTGAGTTGGCTCTGCACTGGACTGCTGCCCCCGCAGGTCAGGGCCTCTGGGCCTCCTTAGGGGACAAAGTGACAAGAAGTTGGAAGAAGTTAGCACTTTTCCTCTTCTCCCCTTCCTCCCAACTCTGTGGAGGTGTGTGGGGGAGACTCCAAAGGAAGGGCAGGGGGAAGGGTCTCTCTGGCAGAGAGGGGAAAACCAAGTCCGAGGTGAGAGGTGGAAAGGGGGAGAAAAGGAAGCTGCCCCATCTCAGCCTCCTCCCACAGTGTTGGCGCTGTGGAGCGGGCCAAGGTCTCGGACTCCCAGACTCTGTGGAGATAACCACCCCGGTCTCACTCTCCCCCAAGGGGGCGGGGGGCAGGCTTCCAGCCGCTGCCTCCAGGCCTCCTCCGTGCACCCTCCCTGCAGGGGACCCCCAGACTCTCCCAGTCCTCTCAGGTGCTGCTCCCACGCCTTCTTGGCTTGCACCTGGGACAGGGATGGCGCGACCCGGACGCCCAGGCTTGGCGGAGCCCTCCCTAGTACGAGGAGGGCTGGCCGCGCTGCGCTGGGGGAGGGGACCCGGCGGGCCAAGGCAGGGATGGGGGGCGCGGCTTTCTGTCCTTTCCTCTCCCTGAGCCGGGGCGGCTGAAAAGCGCCTTTGTGGCCGGAGCTGCTGAGTCCGCTTCTCCCCGCCGCGTCCCCGGCCTCGGCCCGGGATTCTCGCTCGGTTAAGTCATCCCTGAGAATGGCCATTGTACTTGGCGCAGCCCCCGCCGCCCAGCCTTTTTTCCAGTAGCCTTGATCTCGCACGGCTCGGTTAGGGCACCTCTGCAGCGCGAGGGGGGCGGGGGGGTGGGGGGGTGGACCCGGACAACGAAGGGGTTAATGCTAGGGGCCGAAAGGAGGAGGAGGGAGGAAGGAAGGAAGGAAGGAAGGAAACTGATGCCCGGTGCCAGGCAAGGCTATGAAACAAAAGATGAATTGGGCGGAGGGAGGGTGGCTGGGGCCTGGGGCGGGGGCCAGACTGAAACGGGGGCTTCTTTCGTGCACCCGGGCTGCCAGCTTCTTCCTGATCGAGCTGCCCTTTCCTCCCGCCTCTCAACTCGGGCCTGGGCAGAGCCCAGATTCCAGGCTGGTGGAGGTGGGCACGGTGGGGAAAGGGTACTCTAGCAGCCCATTCCTCAACCCAGAGGGTCCTCCTGGTTCTCCAGCGACGCTCTGGAGAGGGAGAGCGCGGTGGGCACGGACGGGTAGGTAGGTGTGCGGAGTCTCGAGGGATTCCCAGGACACTGGAAAGCTGGGAGGAAGTGTAGTGGGGCCCAGAACACACTGAAGAGTCGACCCTCGGGTCCATGGGCCTGGTACCCCAGCGGGGGCCGGGGCGGCTGACGCTGACGCTGACTCCTCCCCAGCGCTGTAAGGAGCGGGTGAACGCGCTAGCGATCGCCGTGATGAACATGTGGCCCGGAGTGCGGCTGCGCGTGACCGAGGGCTGGGACGAAGACGGCCACCACGCGCAGGATTCCCTCCACTATGAAGGCCGCGCCTTGGACATCACCACGTCCGACCGCGACCGCAATAAGTACGGGCTGTTGGCGCGCCTGGCGGTGGAAGCCGGCTTCGACTGGGTCTACTACGAGTCGCGCAACCACGTCCACGTGTCCGTCAAAGCCGGTACAGCGGGCAGCCAGGGGTGCTGAGGTCCGCCAGAGGGAGTGGGGAGGGGGTCCCTTCGGGGAAACTGAGGCTGCCCAGAGCCACTGTGACCGCAGGGGAGGCCCAGCGGGTGATCCTAGGTCTCTTGTTGACCGCCCTTCCCTTCTGCCCGCTGCGGGGCCCGCTCCGTGGGAAATTGCATGTGATCCGGACCCGAGGTCCGCGCCGGACTGGTGCCACCCCTTGGGAGCGCCGGTGGTCTGGATCTAGCCCTTCCTTCCTGCTTGTGCCCTGCAGATAACTCCCTGGCTGTCCGGGCCGGCGGCTGCTTTCCGGGAAATGCCACTGTGCGCCTGCGGAGCGGCGAGCGGAAGGGGCTGCGGGAACTGCACCGCGGAGACTGGGTGCTGGCGGCCGACGCAGCCGGCCGGGTGGTGCCCACGCCGGTGCTGCTGTTCCTGGACCGCGACTTGCAGCGGCGGGCCTCCTTTGTGGCGGTGGAGACGGAGCGGCCCCCACGCAAGCTGCTGCTCACGCCCTGGCACCTGGTGTTCGCCGCCCGCGGGCCGGCGCCCGCGCCGGGCGACTTCGCGCCGGTGTTCGCGAGGCGGCTGCGTGCGGGGGACTCGGTGCTGGCGCCCGGCGGGGACGCGCTGCGGCCGGCGCGCGTGGCGCGCGTGGCGCGGGAGGAGGCCGTGGGCGTGTTCGCGCCGCTGACGGCGCATGGGACGCTGCTGGTCAACGACGTCCTGGCCTCGTGCTACGCGGTGCTGGAGAGTCACCAGTGGGCCCACCGCGCCTTTGCGCCTCTGCGTCTGCTGCACGCGTTGGGGGCGCTGCTTCCTGGCGGAGCCGTCCAGCCGACCGGCATGCACTGGTACTCACGGCTCCTCTATCGCCTGGCCGAGGAGCTGCTAGGCTGAGCCCAGGGGACACAGAAACTTCCAGGCGCCAGCCAGCAAGACTGGGGCGACGTACTGCTGAGCTCTGAGGATGCTGATTGGGTGGGAGGAAGACTAGAGAGAAGGAAGGGGCAGTACAGGCATTGCCTTGGTGTAGGGCAACCTGGAGCTGCTTGAGAGAAGGTGACCCCGGCTCCTAGGTAGCTGGGCTTGATGGTGGGCACTCCTCCACCAGGACTATTTAGCGTCTGCTTCCCCAGGGCCTCAGCCCCACCCATAATTTTAATTTTCTATTTATAAATTGTAATATAATGATCTACTTGCCCATCCTGGCAAGCTGGAGCACAGCGTTAACACTGGCTGACTAGCCGACCCATCTGACACCTGCATTTTCCTGCAGGGAGGCTAATAAAAGGAAGGCTTCTAGGAGAACACCTCCATTCCCGGCAATGGGAGAAAGGGGACCTTGCTTAACACCTTACTTCCATATTCTTCCCCAGCAGACCCTTCATTTTGACTCCTTACTTCCTTTAGAGGGCCCTCCCAACCCATCCTCCACAGAGATGAAAAGTTGAATCTACTAGTACACTCCCCCCCCCCGCCCCCAGGACTGACATTCTGCCCTGCTGTTGCGTACCCACAGTTGATTGGACCAGCATTGTTCTGGGAGCCTGAGGGTCCATACCTACCCCTTTTCTATAGGGCCCCTAGCAGGGGCTCAGGCCACTGTAAGCACTGATCTACAAAGCGCCCTAGGCTCCCATTGTTAAGGTGCAGCCCTGGAACCTCCCTTAAAACCATGAATTCCTGGTAGGGTCTGGATGGGACTCACACTTGTTCCTGGCTCTTCACTGGACCCGCTCGGGACCTGTGACAATCCCTAGCTAATCCAGACACCCAAGCGGCCAAGAAAAAGAACCTGGACCGTTTCCGCCTTGAGGAACTGAGCATGAAGAACGGAGAACAGGCACAGGCCATAAGTGCATTGCAACAAAAGTCCCCTTCCGTACAGTACGCTGTCCCTGCTTGTCTTCTCTTACTAGCGCCCTCCACCTCCTAGGCCCCTTCTCAGTGATCCACACAGACAGCTCAGCTTCCCTGGCCTGGGTGTTTGGGGAACCTCTGGGAACACCAGACACTTCCAGTCCAGGCTGGTAGGTGCTTCTGAGTTAGGAATGAAAGTTCCCAGGAAGTTGGACAGCTTTAGAAGGAATGAATCTAGGGCTTGGAGGAGGGATTGGGGTGTGCAGCGCCACCAGGAACTTGCCCCTCTCTTGGGAAGGAGCACTCCCTGCAAGTTGGGATCCTGCTAATACATTGCCCTCTGGTGGCCTTCAGGAGAATTCTAGGCTTACTCCTCTGCCCCTTCTGGTAGGGAACTGTGTACTGTACTGCAAAGATGGGAGAACTGGACCTACGCAAAGGAGCATGGTGGGTGAGGCTTATTAAACAGCTAGGGCTAACCAATGGGTGTCAGGAGCTGGCAAGGAGTCCACCTGCCTGTCTTTGAGAACACCTTTCCAAACTGAGCAGCTTGGCATCCACAGTTTTGCTACATGGCTCCTGAAAGTGAACTTTAGAGTTGCAGCCTGTAGGAGTCCAGATTTCTTTACCATCCATGTTGCCCTCTCCTGCCCCCTTGTGACCTGGTGACCAGGGTGTGAGCACATCCTTTAGGGTTCCGGGTGGTTCTTGATAAAGGCAAAGCTTGGAAGTGCAGTCTCACTCACCCTTTCTCTCCACCCACACTTAGAGCTATAGTTTCCCATCCTGGTCACAGAAACCTACTCCAAGCTCTTTGCTCTCTAAACCTGCAGTTGTCTCCTATCACACTTTGATATCCTGTCACCCAGTCACCGCAGGTGATAAACAACCTTTGTATGTTGATAAGCTCCTTGTTTTGACCCCCTTCCCAGGTAATGAATGTGTCTTAACAGTGACCTGACAAAAACGAGGACTTAACTATAGTGTGATGACTCTTAGTGTCTTAGGAGGTTGGTAGGGAGATGGGGACAAAGAGAACTCACTGGTTCTCTTAAAGACATCCTATAGGCTACTTCCTAAACCGGAGGCTAACTTCTCGCTCTTTACTTCCACCCCTCCTCCTCCTTGTCCCCTTTAACCCCCTCCCAGTGCCTTAAAAAAAAAAATCCATGACTTGCCCATGACAAGCAGCAAAAGACACCATCTCCATGAAGCCAGCTGATGTATGCACCTGGCCACGCACCACCTTTAATCCTCATAATCAGCAGGGAGGGTTAGGTAACCAGTGTGCCTTATGTCCTGGAGGTCAGGTGTGTTGTTGTTACTGGCATAGTGGCCCCATGTAAGAGCACAGAACTGCCCGGCAGGGTCCATTGGCTTTGGGCTGGCATGTTCATGGAAGCGGATCTCCAGGTCTTCCCCACAGGAAATCCTGGGTGGATTCAAACTGCCCATCCATCATTTGGCTGTTGAGCACGCAGCCATTTGCACCACGAGGGCTCCTTGGAAGTCAGCCTTGTGAGGAGACAGTGACCCCTCTCTGAGAGACTGGTTGGCAGGATCCGTGTGTGTGCCCCCTGTCGGGTAGGCACTCTGCCCATGTTCTGGAGTGTGTCCACTTCCCACTGGCTTGGCTGCTTGCTGCTTATCTGTTTGCCGCTCTCCTCACCACGCACTAAGAGCATGATCAGTGGTTCTCAAATGTTGTGGGGCTGTGTTGCACTTATAGTTGATATCACAGTCTCTTCAGATAATCCCGTGAGACAGATTTTTAAATATTTTTAGAACTAAAGTAGAATGAAAAAAATAATCCTGTTTTGGGAATTTCTAGAGAGTTTTGTGATGACCTTGGTGAGACCTTGGAGCCTACTGGGAAACTAGATTTGAGAACTGCTCCGTTAAAGTTTGAACTCACCAAGTGCTCTGTGGGAGAAAGCTGGGGCTGTCTGCTTGAGCAAAGATTTACCACCTTGGAAACTACCTGGAGGTTCTACCCTGGCCTCATCGTTAGGATTGAGTCGGAATGATCTGCCAGGCAACGGTGGAGCTCTGGGCTTTGGGGTGACTTTTCCATCACCCAGGATTGTTTTCCCTTTCTCTTCCTTTTCAAGCAGGATTTCCAGCACAGATCTGTATCTGGCACTGCAACACACACACACACACACACACACACACACACACACACACACACAAGACTAAGAAAGCTTCTTCCCTGAAGGAGTAAACATGAAGAATAAACTGGTTAACTAACAAAGCAACATTGTTACTTCGTCAGGATGAGTTGAACAAGCTGTAAATGCCATCACAGTACAGAAAAGGCCTTGTGGAGCATAGGATGTCAAGGCATGTGTAGGTGGAGGGGACAGGAAAGGGCATTCCAGGCAAAAGGAACACTATGAACAAGGACTTGGAGTCTGGGAGGAAGATAGGCAGTTAAGCTAGAGTGGGAGATTCTAGGAGATGCCAGGAAGTAAAGCCAAATGAAGCTTATGTTTATTAAGTAGTTACGAGGTGCCAGACCCTGATCACGTTCCTGAATCCTCATTTAATAATCATGCATTCCTTCACTTCATCCTCAAAGCAACCCTGCAAACGTCACGTTATAGATGAGGAAATTGAGGCAAAGAGAGGTTGAAGTCATTTGCCCAAGTGACCTCAGCCAGTAAGTGATGGAACTGGAGGACAAGAGAAGGAAATAAGACTGCCTTGATGGAGGGAGTTGCCCCATAGGAGGCCTTCCGCTGTCTTGATCCTTGGTCATTCCTTTCACTGAATCCCTAATAAAGTTCTTCTTGTTGTTGATAGCATTTCTCTCATTTTCATCGACCCTTCCTCTTGTCTGGAGGGCTGGGTTCCTAACTCTCTACCTAAAGCTGCCCAGCCATCCGTTAGGTGCCAGCATACATATACTGGTACAGCTTCTGGCAGGAATCCATGGCCAGCTCCTATACCGACACAGAAAGCTTGAGAAGACTCTAAGCTCCTTTTAGATTAGAGAAGGAGAGGGGAGGTTGGATACCCAGATTGTTTGAGATAGGAAGAGACCAGTGCTCACATGGGGGCCATTACTTAGTGAAAAGAATCCACTCTTCTTGGGTGGGGGGGGGAGCCAGAGGACGAGCATTTCAGATCTAGATCCTTGGTTGTCCCTGGCTGTGATTTTGTGGCCCGTACCACATGAGAGGAAGGCTTCCTCTCTGGCTGGGAGACCGAGGCAGCTGTCAATGGGAAGGAAAGCTATGTCTTTTCAAGGGATTTCCCAAGAAAGGTGGGATATGGATTTCGAATCCCATTTAACACACTCAAACCCTCTTCTCCCTACCACTGACTCTGCAGGTGATTTGGCTGAGGTATATAAATGAACATTCCCCCTGAGAATGTTCAGTGGTTTCAATGGACCATTGGTTTAATTCAATGGTTTTGTTGAGTGTCTATCATGTGTCTAGTATTGTGCTAGGCAAGGGGGATATGACAATAAAGGCATACACACAGCCATTCCTCATGACTCTTAGAGGTTAGTTGGCAAGACAGATACTGCATAACTGGCTAGCAAGGTTGTGTGAAGCACAAGAGTGTTACGAACAACGTGGGAAGTGACATTTAAGCTGGGCCATGAAGGTACGAGTCTGAGTTGTCTAAGGGCGGGAACAGAGTGTGCAAAGGCTTGGAGTTGTAGTGAAAAAGCAAGAGTAATCAGAGGAACACTAACAAGTGAAATTTAACTGGAGGGAGAGATGATCTAACTTAAGGGTTTTGAATCCTGTCAGGGAAGAAATGAGAAGCAACGAGAAAATTTGAAGCAAGAAAGGAGCCTAATCAAACTTGCATTTTCAAAAGGGAACTGGTGATTGGGTAGTGCTTTGGGGGTAGTGTATCCTCTTTACCTAAAGTAATTGGTTCTCATCTGAATGTCAAATCTTAAGTCACAGATGTCCCCATCCATAGAAGATTCTATGGAGTGGACATGGTAGGAGGCAGTGGAGGAAAACTGGAGAAGTGACGGTGATACTGCCTTACTTCCAGGCCCGCCTTCTTTTGTCTCTGAAATCTAAACCCAAACTGTCCATTTCTCTGCTTGAGACCATATAACCGAAGAATGCAGTTGTCCACTTTGAAACCACATGGCATCCAAATAGAAGTCCTTGCAACCGGGACTCTTTGCTCTGCTCTGCTCCTTTGGCTTGCCAGTGATTCTTTCATCAGCGCTTTGGCTTAGTTTGGAGCTGGGGGCCCAAAGCTGAGACAGAACTGCTCCCCTTAGATTTAGGCCTAGGTTGGACATTGCAGCTGCCCAGGGAGCAGCTGGTTAAGCTCCCAGCAGCTGCAGCAGCTGGGATTCCTCCCAACACTTGAGCTGGAATTAATCCCATTTCCTTCACACACATCCCTCCCTTGTTCTCACCCTTGGCTAGTGTATGGTATCTCGTAGAATCTTTTAGACCAGATATGGCAGAGCTCTCTCTGAA